TTGGCTGACACGGAATGAGACAAGTTCAGATCTGTTGTTCACAGGGTTATGAAATCTATTTGACTGGACAGCAGTTAACAACTTCCTGACGAGCAGTCCCACCCCTGTCTTCTCCCAAAGGTAACCTAGCCAGACATTTCAATTCTTCTTGCACTGGGGGCAGTACCTCTAGTCCCTGATAGACATAGGACTTTGTCTAGTCAAAAGGCTGGACCTTCAGTCAAAAAGCTGGACCTCACCAAAATTCTACCAGTTTAAGGGTACATTGTAGAATGGAACTTTTGAGTTACTGTACAAGATGTTTATTTGTTGTGCCGCGCCCCCCCCCCATGCTGTCTGTCATTTGTAATATGTTTTGTGAGAATCCTTGGGATTAAAATTTTGGTTATAAATTGGTTTTTGTGTTTTTGGCTTCTTTTAAATTTTATTTATCTTTATGTGTGTGTATGTATCATCAAATCTGACTGGTACAGGAGGAGATTGTCCCTCCTTCTCCAGCAGAGCATCTGGTAGATTGGAACTGCACACCTCTGGGATTGCAGTGCAACATCTTGCCACTAGGCCACCAGAGCTCCCTTCTGGTTGTTTTTGTTTTGTTTTAAAAAAAAAGCCTGGACCTCAACAAGTGTGTGACAGAGCTCTGCCTCCCCTTGTATCTCCCTGGTCACTATCATTCCACTAACACTGACCTCGCTCCCAGCCCTGGAGATCCATCAGGGAATTTTGTAGACCAGGTTGGATATGTCCACGAGCTGGTTGGAAGCCAGGTCTGGTTTGGGGACAATCTTCCTCCCTAATTCTTTTTTTTTATGATGCAGAAACAGTTTTATTGAATCTACATCTTCTTTTCCCATAAATGCACTTTATTACAGAGATCTGGGAGAAAGCGAGTCACCTCCAAGACTGCCTCTTGAACCTACATCTGTGATAAAATAAATTTTTTGGTTCAAAGTGAAAGATGCTAAAAACTAGATCCAGTTCAGAAATGTGACTTCAGGGAAAAAGAGGCAGTGCCTTTTTAATGGGCTGAACCCAAGAGTGGTTCCTTGGGAGAAAGAGATTTTGTTTGAGGCAATTTACAACTTCTAAAAACCCACTAGGGTGCTCTGGTGGCCTAGCAGCCGAAAATCTATTGGAGATGCAGATACTTACTAGCAATAAGTTGAGCTAGTCATGCTATAGCTTCAGCTGACTTCTTTCAATCGGGTACTACCACCCATATCAATAGGAAACTAAAGTGGAAATCATCCTAGGGCTAGTAAAGCCAATAAGCCTAGATGGGTATGCCAAAATGATGGTGCTCTCTCTAACCATACCCAACAGCAAAGATGGAAGTAGAAGAAAAATTGCCAAATTCACTCACTAGGTAACTAGTTTGGAAGCAGGAGTGACATCCACTTCCTAAAGAACATGCCTCTGGAAACTATGAAATTTGAGAAATGATAGTATCGAAAGGCTTCAGGTCTTCTGTTCATAGGGTTGCTATGAGTTGTGCTCAACTCAACAGCAGCACATTGTGCAGGGAAGTGAGGAAGTGAAGCTACCAATTTTTTTAATTTAGATTTATTCATTGTTGCACTATTTTCTCTACCCCCCCAGTTCATTCCTCTTCCCCCCCTTGAAAGTCTGTTTTAATTGTCCCATTGCCACAGTGCTTGTCAAAGCCAGTTCTGATTAATCTCCTTTGTCAGTGTGTCCTTTGCCATTCCCTATCAC